TGGTACATTTTTCGGTAAAAATGGTTGTCGCAAATCAATTAATTGAGCAAAACAGATGTTTTTTGCTATTTAAATACAAAAAAAAATGAATGCATTATTTATGGAAGTCTGATTCTTTGCCGGAAATTTTTCCAAACTTCGTCTATAGCGACAACTGTTTCAAATACGTCAAAGACGTCAATAATCCGATCAATTTTTTGAGGAGCAAGTTAGAATTTCTAACATAAGAAAAAATTTCTGAAAAACAAGTCAGCATTTCTAAAAAATAATTAAACATTTTTGGAGAAGAATATCTACATAAATCTCTCGTAAATGTCGATGGTTTTGGAGATACAGGGCGCGCAAAGTTTTAATTTTTTTCTGAATTTGTTCATTAATTGAAAAAGTTTTACAAGATAACCATGAAAATTGTCAGCTTCAGTTTTTAATTGAACAATTATGAATTTGAAATTTATTCGGACGTTGCTCCTAGAGGGCGTTAGTTTCAGCGAATTATTTAGATAAATCGAATTATATATCATCTGGAAGAAGGTCTAATTTTTTATACTAAAATTTCATAGAAAGGTGTCTAACTCCGGAGCAATACAAAATGAAAGTAATAAAAAAAATTAACTGTTTGAAAATTACCTATTCTGAATCACCTTGTGTAATAATAGAGTATAGTCTTGTCAAAGTACAAGCCTATTTACAAGCGTGTATATATTATTAAGATTCCTACCTCCATTATGGGTTTTGAAATTAACAAACTAACTAACAATTGTTAAATTAGTACCCGTGTACAGATCGATAGTCTAAGTGGATTTAACATAATTGTTTTACCATTCTGTGATATTAAACTAAACGTCTTATTTGTCTGCATTTTTTTGTCTGTTTTTCTTTCAATAATGTATAAATATATAAATAATTATAATAAATATATAAATAATGTATAAAGAATTCGTCGCAGGCTACGATAATACTATTTACAGATCTTCTGAATTCTGAAACTGTTTCAGTTAAACTCTGAAGAAGGCAGCAGATGTAGAACTATCGGGAGTTGACTTGGGATGGGGCCAATTTGTATGTAGAGCTTGTTCGAAAATTGTAAGTGTAAATCATATTTTAACATTTATTTTTTTCCCGTATATCGTAACAAAAGAAATATATATGTTATTTTAAACATTTTTTAGGTATTTATAAAATTTTTTCACTCAAATATTTTATATGGTTCAAGTAGAAAAGTTTTTTTTTTAAATTCGTTTTATTAACAAACGTAAACCCAAATTAATTATTGCTTTTTTGGATTTTACAGATTTATGCAGATAATTTTTTTTTTATTGCGGATCAGTATGTTAATGATATTGTTGAATTATTAATTGTATTATAAATTATTTTTATCATCACAAATAATATTTTGTCCCTATAAGATTTTTATATTTTGCAATTGGAAATTTAAGTATTATAAATAAAAAACTTTTGTTACGATTTTTTGTTTTCATTTATATTTATTCAAATAGGTCTCCGGTGTAGGTAAAAAATTATACGATTTCTGAAGAACAGGTGTAATTATAAAGAAATAGTTCTGGCTTTATTTACAATAACATTAACGTTTATAATTTTTCATATAATAATAAAGCATATTTGCATTTTTTGTTCATTTCATATATTTTGAAAATTTTTTTTTCGCTTGCAATTTTTCCGCTCACTAGCGTATGATATTAATTGATAATGTTGATAATGATGATTAAGTAAAATTCATTCGAAATATTCGAGTAACGTTGGCAATACTGACTTGTTTTCCAGAAACTCCAACTTGTTTTCTAAAAACTCCGACTTGTTTTCGACAAATTCTCTCTTCATTTCCAGAAATTCTGATTTATTCAAACTAAATCATTTATTTATTATTTATTTTAAAGCATTTGACGGTTAATTCGAATATAATTCACGTTAAGTCGGCAAAATGGCACCGCTAAGTAGCTGAAAACGATATGAAATTTTGGTGACGAGACGAAAAGGGCTTCTCGAAATTATAAAAACAAAAAAAAATAACCCGGGCGGCGTTAGAGAGAATTTACGCGGGTCCAATTCCCGAAATATTTACGAGCGTTTGGGTGGAATATGGGCCGACCCACCGTTGCCGATCGTTTTTCACATTCGTAACGGCCTTCGGGTCATTTCTCACTAATTGATGTCGAAATTTTGACCCCCACGGTCGTGGGTCCCCCGTCCCTCGTTTTTTATCGAACACTTTCCTATAATGCAACAAAAATATTTTAGCAATATTTTGCAGGTTCTAATAAAATTGCTTAGAAGTTAAGAAACCATTACCGCGTATACATGTAACTCAAATCGTTTTCAAAACTGGTTTTTGATTTAAGTTTTAGTTAGTTTTTTTTTTAGTTTTAGAGGAGTTTTCAATAATTTTAGTTAGCATCATAAGCGCACTTAGTCCATGTTTTGTGTTTCGGAAAAATCGGATCCAAAGACGTTAATAATGATAACTCTTTTATTTTGCCAATGGGTGCAAAATCAGCATCTTCTTTACCATCAAGTAATATCACGGTTTCATATATGTACGATCGTTTTCCACCTTATATTACTTATTTTTGATGTTTTATATCCAGTTTTTCTTTGGTTTTCTTTATCGACCTTTCCTCATCAATCAGTTGATGAATATCATCGACAATTTTACACTCGTGGAGTGCCTTTTTGGCAATGTCCATCGATGTTTGAGAGAAACAGGCAGGTTTCCTTCAGCTACTTCTGAACATCCCGTTCAACAGGAACTTGCTCAAGAAGAGGCAACAGTTGATACGATTGATGCTCAACCTTGTACTAGTCTCCGAAAAATAGATAACAGACTTAACGTAGGCCGGATGAGTGTTTGGCGAATTTTATACAATTTTGGGTTGTACTCGTACCACATTTTACCTATACAAGCTTCAAAACCTGCCGACTATGCTTCAAGACTTGCATTTAGTCGCTGGATATTGAGAAATCAAATTATTTGAAGGATAATATTATTTAGTGATAAAGTCTCACTCACCCGAAACGGTATCAATAACACCAGGAATTAACATTTTCAAGATACATTTTCGGTAAATATTTGGTATGGCAAATCCTTTAGATTACTTTTTATCGGGGACACTGAAAACTTGATGCAGAAAGTATTGAAAAGAGAGAACAAATAGCAGCTGGAATTATGGATGCCCCAGAAACTATTCGTGCTGATCCTGAAATTGCTAGCGGAGCTACCACTTCAATTCTGGGTATATATTTTGACAACCAATTCAATAAAATAAAATATAAATAAATAAAAAATAATAAAAGAAAAAATAAAAGGGTTTCTTTTAAATGGTCTTTAAAATTTCAAATTTAAAAGTTCATTTAACATTTTTGTATGTGAATGTAATTTTAATCATTGTATTGTATATGTCAGTGTGCCACTTCGGATATTTCCAGGATATTACCGCACGGGTTTGGGCTGAAGCCCTATGGTCTGGTCTAAACACATAACTAGAGAAAAAAAGAATGGTATATTATGCTACAAGTGTGGAAAACGGCATTTAAGTTACGAGTTTATTTGGCACCAGCGGAGCGAGTGTTTAATAAACGAATGACTTAAAAAGTTTGCGCATTGCATACTATACTGTTTCTATTAGACCAGGTCATAAGACTCCATTCAGTTCTTCTATGATTTTTTGCTTTGGGCTATCCTATCCTTACTTAAAGTTGTCGCACTTTTCTTGGCGAATTGCTATGTTGGTTTGATTTTTATATGCTTATAAAATGCGCATTTTACATCATTTTTACTTTAATCATGTTTCTGAGAATAAATATAAGCCAGAGTCGTATTTTTTTCTATGTTCTGCTTTTATTTTAGGATGCGAGAATGTCAAAATGCTCAATAGAAAGTTGTTTAACGCTAAAACTGTATTACTTTTTAAATTTTTAAATAATATTTTTTCATTTTAAATAAATAATATATTAAGAATCTACTTGGACAACTTCTAGACTTGCAAGCTTTTTCTTTTTAAAAACCTTGGTAGGGCCAAAAAAAAGGAAAAAAGAAAATAAAAAAAATTAATAATTCTGGATTTTTCCGATGGTAAATTAATTCTAATTTCAACCTTGTAAACAAACAGAGTAAAAAACTAACCAAAACTAGAATATAATTATAAGCAAATAATAGATAAATGGATCATGATAAAGCTGAAATTATTACTTGTTCTTTAAATCTGTTGTATTTGGATTTATCCTGCCTCGATTATTGTTGAATTAAGAGCCAAAACTAAAACTGGCTCGCATTTAACTCTGTACCTGCTTATATATTTTTTGAGGGGGGAGGAGCTAAAGCAGGGGCATGAATATTGTCGCGGATGACTGATTCCCAAATTGGAGACCGGTGCAGATCTCGCAGGTTATGATTGTTCGTTTGCATGTATATTTCAATTCCCGGATTTTTTGTTGGTAGAAGAATTGATTACGTGCAAGACTTTTAGTTTTATCGAATAAAATTAGATGTCCTTTTTTGTGATTTTGTCTGGTAATTGTCGAAGTCTTAAGGCTCTTTCATGTTCTTTGAGTCTAATTGATATATTTCGTTTGGTCTCTCCAATATATTCTTTGCCGTATGTAACTTTTGATATGTCGTCAGTGATGTTTTGAATTTAAGGAAGGACAAGTAGCCAGTGTGGGGTTGCTGTCAAACTCATTATCTTTGGAAGGTTGTGGTGAAGTATATTTTGCGAGCAAACGCTTAATATCTCTAATATGGATGTTATTATTAGTTTCAAATTCAATTCAATTCCAAACATATGTGTATATCGATCTATAACATTCAGGATGTTTATATTACATCTCCACCGCAGATGATTTCATATGGTTGGATTTCTGGCAGTTCCGAGAACTTCCGAAGACTATCAATATTAATTCCTTAAATAAATAAATGACCGAATTACCTTACTTAAATTGGCGTTTTGGGGTTGTAGAACGGGCTACTGATTTCAAACGACACTCACCTGTATAACCCTCATCGGTAACCCCGTCTCTTTCGCGAGCTGCTCGCGTATGTGCCTGGTGGGTTTCGGCGTTTGAGAGAATGCCGTCTTCAGGATCTCCAACTGCTTGGCCTTGATGGTGGTACGCGGTCCGCGACGTTTCGAGCCCGCGCTGCTGTCGTCCGGACTTTTGTTTTCCGTTTGCGAGTCTCTCGTTTCTGGGTCGCCGTCCAACGAGTTTTGGTCTTCGGAATCGTTTTCCGCCTTCGGATCCTGAAAAAAAAAAAGATCACGCAGTCAGCACGGCAGCCGCGTAGATAAATCGGCATTACAATAATGACGCGTTGCGGGGCATTACGTCGCGCAATCGCCTGCCTTAACCGCGAATTAACCAATTTAATTCAATATCTTCCGCTACTAACGCAATCTTGCGCTCCGCGATCGGACGCGATGCTAATGGAGTCGGTAGCGGGCCGGAATGGGAGCCCTGGGGCACCCCCGTCGAAACTGCGTATTAAGGAAACTTAACGCGCCCGGCCGGTATAAGGAATACCGCCGCGTCGCACTATACAGGGTGTATCACACATACAGATACGATTGTGCAAGAAAACTATGTTTGATCCCTACTCTAAATCCGAACTACGTGGACGCAATTATAACAGCATATTCCAAGTCCAAAATAAGTCCATATACGGCGTATATGTATTTTATAGATCTAGCATTTGACCGCGTAAGACTCCCTGATGTTGTGAGACTTCTTAAGAAAAAGAGCGTGCACCCGGAGTTAATGAAGATCGTAGTTGAGTTAAATACCGAAATATATACCCAAATACAAGTGGAAGGCGGAAAAACACGCAAAATACCCATGCAGGGAGGAATAAAACAGGGGGACAGCCTCAACTCTGTCCTTTTCAATCTGGTTATGGATGAGCTAATATTTGAAGTGAAGAAGATTGGAAAGGAATACCGACTAGGGGACTAAAAAAATAAAGATAATCTGCTATGCGGACGATCCCGTGTTGATATCGGAAGATGAAGACAACTTACAGAATATACACCGCCGTCAAGTACAACATGAAGATATCGGTAGCAAAATCTAAATCACTAAGGATATCAAAAGAGCTCAGAAGATGTAAATTGGTCATATACAATGAACCTGTAGAGCAGGTCATGAATTTTAATTATCTCGGCGTCAGCGTTACGAGCAGCAGAAATCTCCAAAAAGAAGTAAAATGCCAAACATCCAAGGCTGGCTTAATAGCCGTGTATCTGCGAGATGTAACATGGAGAAACAAATATATGACCATAGAAGGCAAAAGTCTCATATATAAGACCTGTGTGAGACCCGCTGTAGAAACAAGAGCGGAAAACTCGACAACAAAAAAAATCATCCGAACAGCAGAGATGAGAACTCTAAGATCTTTAATAGGCTAAACACTGAGGGACCACAAAAGAAACGAAGACAGCAGAGAACTTTGCGGTGTCCTTGATGTTGTACGATTATCCCGAAACAGACGGCGCCAATGGAGAGATCATGTGGATGACCACAGAGTGCCGAAAATTGCAAGAAATAGTCTCCCAAGATTGAGCAGACCTTCTGGACGTCCCCCATACGATGGCGTGAGAGCTGGAGCTCATCTTTCCAGCTACGTCTCTAACTACAGAGTTACAGACAAAAGCCTTATAAAAAAAAGAAGAAAATAAGTCCTAGTTTTCTATATAAACACATGTGGAGACACTGGTCCTAACAGAACCACAGGCCCTAAAAGGAATGGACCTAAAAATGGTTTTTTAATAATAGTGTGAACGCTCTATATAAGCAACTCATTTGAACCAATTTTAATAAAGTTTTTTATTTGGATAAGTTGATTATATGCAAAAAAGGAGCATAAAAATCCTTACCGTCTGGAAAATATTTTTACTTATTTCTTTTACTAACTTTTTGTAGGAATATTACATATACTGGCTACGGAGTTTCTGAATATGATGGAATCTTATAAAAGGATTTTAGTTAAAGTATACTTTAAAACAAGAGTTCACCTCACAAAAAAACAAGCTGCATTTGTCTTCCAGATATGAATCACACCTAACCGCCATAGATATCGTAAACTCATCAGCAAACTTTTTAAACGCTGTGTTCTTGCAAACTTTGCAAACCGTCAATATACAAGAGGAAAAGTATTATTAACAATAATTATTATTATCGCTCTCAGATTTCTGCCTGCAGTCGGGTTGTAGTGGGGAAAGCATAATTCCAGTAGATGCGGCATTGTTTTCTACTACTGTTTCAATATCACCTGGAACGTATAGGAGCACTAGTGTCTCATCCTTACTATAGGAATGCCTCAAGTGATTGAAAAGCAGCTGAAGAGCTGCGTTATGCCTGAAGATGTAGATCGAAACCGCGTATACCGGGAAATAGTAAATGCATAAGAGTCTCGGGAGGCTTACGGCAGGTCCTGAAGCTAATGTCAGGCTCCTAGACAGGTCCAGAATCTGAAGGTGCCTGTAGAACAATCCACGCTACGGCTTACTAACGTGGTCTTCTTGGAGCTTTTGCTGTTCCGCTCTCTTAATCTGGCATTTCAGGACCTCTGGATCAAGCTTAGTAAGTGAGTGCTGATTATCTGTATCCAATGTGAAGGTGAGACTTAAACGTTCTGCCACATGACCTGCTGCTCTCGTGTGCTTTGTGCTCGTGTAAGGTGTAAGGTGCACAGTTTCTGAAGAAGTGCGGGAGTGTCTGCTTGTAATGATGTCGCTGGTTTGCCGGTACAGGAAATCAGGTACGTAATTTTGTTGAGTTTGTGTTGCATCACAATGTCTAGCTTATTGTATTCGATGGTATGATCGGCTATTATGGTTCTGTTCCAGTATATTTTGTGGGTTTGACTTTCAGTAACAGGTTCTAGCGTGTAGGCATAGTAAGGAGGTTTCTCCATCAAAACACCAATTCCCTAGTGTATTACTTTAGCTATGTTATCGTGCCTTCTGGGGTATTTTGTTGGAGCTAAGGTTGTGCAGAGAGTAGAGATACAACCTACTACCGAAGAACAAACGGAGCCTACGATTCTGAAAGAAGAGGTAAAACGGGCAATCGAGACAACAAAAAGTAGAAAAGCGCTGAGTCCGGATGAAGTATCTGTGAAAGTGTTGAAGCTGATTGAAGAGCGCAACGTTTGCACTCTATAACAGCACTACTCAAGAGAATATACATAACGGGGATCATAGCAACGGAATGGCTAGAATCGACCTTTGTTACAATACCCAAAAAGGCAAATGCTGTGATGAATACTGTACAATAAGCTTGATGAGTCACACACTAAAAGTATTCTTGAAAATTATACACCGCAGAGTATTTCAGAAACTCGAAGATAACATCTGGGATGCCCAGTTCAGTTTTAGAAACGTACAATATCCTCATACAACGCTGTCTCGATGTCAATCAGGAAGTTTACGTCTGCTTCATAGATTAAAACAAGGCGTTTGATAAAGTAGGGCGGTAGTTTAATGCCGGTATTGCCTGATCTTCAATGGCGTGCATAAAGTCCTCAGTTTCCGCCATCAGCGTGCTGTTTTCTAACCAGGCGTTGAAGGCATTGGTGTCTATTTGGTTGAGTTCAATTGTAGCGGGGTAATATTATTATTATTTTTATTATGTGTTTCAGCGGAAGTCGGCCTTAATGGCAAGACTTACGTGCGTATCTCTATTCTAGAAATGATCTCACAATACTTGTCGCATCCATGGCTACAGAATTGTGCATAGTTCGATACGTGAACTTGGGAATATTAATGCCCCTGAGAGACGTGCTCAGTTTCTTTAGAATCAAGCAAATGCATAACAAAACATCAGGAATTATCTTGACTTCTTCCACATTCGACAGCTCTTTTAATTCTCTCTTTAGGTCAGGATATTTGTTGAGTTTTTCATTAGATTTGTTTTCTATCTTAGAGTTATTTGGGAGCACTATGTCAATTAGTAGCGCTTTCTTGGATTGTTTTTTAATGACTGTAACATCCAACCTGTTGTGTCTGTCATGATGGTTCTATCCCAATAGATCTTAGCGTGGTTGATACTTCTAGTATGGCTCGTTTTGAGGTTCAAGCTTAAATTTTTTCAGTATTTCTAAATAGACTATTGCAGCAACTTTGTTGTGTCGTTCTAGATATTTATTTGTCGCCATATTTTCACAGCTAGGTAATATATGTTCTACGGTTTCTTGGGAATATTATCTGGCACTTTATGCACCTATATATTGGTATTTCTCCCTTAGGGATATAGTTTTGATAGTTTCGCGTTTTAATAGTCTGATTCTGTGTACCAAACATAAACCCTTCAGTTTCTCGAAAAAGCGTTCCAGTGTTTAGCAATTCCACGGATTTACATTGATCTACTGTATCCTTCTGTAAGTCATTAATAAATCTACCATGCAGTTCTTTTGAATGCTTTAAACTTTGTCATAGTCAGTTTTTGTATCAAATGGCTTAAAATTTTCCACGCTTGTGTTTAGAGGTGTAATAACTCAAACATCTTTAAAGCATTCATCGCCTTTGCATCTATACCAATTAGTTTAATTTTCCACAACTAAAAGAGAAAAATGTTGCGTGGATATCCACATTGAACGGTACTAATTAATAAAAACGACAATAACAAGTTATTGATTACGTAATTTACATAAATTCCCTACAATTTTCAACTATTATAAAAAAAAGTGCAAGATAACGTACAGCTTGTGATAAACAGAAAATAAAAGTTAAATTTTACTGTAAAATTAACCTTGTGGCATCATTTCGCTTTCACATAAAAAAAAGATAATTACCGCGGTGATTCCCGTGCCATTTTTCAATATGGCAGTTTCCTCATTCGCAATTAGAACCACTAATCATTTTAATTGCTTTCATATTAATGAATCGGCTACCGCTAGACAGTTCCCATCGCAACTGAAAATCTCTCGAACGGACACAATTTTGTTCTACAAGCATTCCGCGAGCAGATTAATTGGCAGCGATAACTCGCGTACCAAAAAAAATTAGATTTATCGTTAAAGAAAACTTTTACAACAAATTAAAGCAAAGTTAAATTTTAAAAGAGCCATAACTCATTCGCTTTTGAATTTAGTAAACATTTTATGTTTATGCAATTTACCACAAAATGAAGAAATTTATTTCTGAAAAATTATGACGTCCAGATGCCTTCGCAATTTCAATGTCAACGTTTGCTTTGAGGAACCCACAGAGTTAAATCGGGACTTTTGGGGAGATAATTGATATCATGATTTAATTCTAGTACAGATAATTTTGCAGCGTTGCTCTATATCAGAAATAATTGTGACAGTGAGGCTGATTTACATCCTCAAAAAAAGGGACCAATAGTTCCAGGTGCAGACGTTGCTGTCCACACTGTCGCTTTGGGACTATGTAGTGGTTGCTGCATTTGACTATTGGATAAAGAGGGAACTATTAAATATATATAACAGCAGAGCAGTAACTGTCGTGCGAATTAAATCATATAGAACTGTTATTTGCTCAAAAGAAGGGATTTGTAGCCAGACACAATACGACATTCAGAATGAAAGACCTTAAGCTACAGTTTGATCGTGCCATGGAGGAAGTAACACTAGAGAACTTTCGAAAAGCTAGTGTAGCTACTGGGTCGATCTGACTGTCGTCCTGATAATTATAAGGTTAAAAGGAGATGACAGATCTTCTTCATGTCGCTTCTATATTCCGTAGGTTTGCTAACATCATATCAATCCTGACCTTGGAAACCGCTGCTCTGTAAGGATCTACACAAGACATGTTAAACCATTCTCGCAGATTCCGAAGCCAGGATATTCTTCTTCTTCCAATTGATCTCCTGCCCACAATCTTCACCTGGATTACCAAGTGAAGCAGCTCATACTGTGGACCCCACTTCTTTCAACACCTCTAACTCTTTGTTAATCGTGGCAAGCACCTCTGCGTTCTGTGCATCTTTCTATAGGTCCACATCTCTCTGCCTCTATTTTTCTTTGGTACACTCTGTTAGGGGTCCAAGTTTCTACGCCATAGCACAGCACTGGGAATACATAGCATACAGAGAATTTTTTTGCATTTTGACAAATGCTGCACAAGCTTTCTCTATGCAGAACTTGATTTCGGAACAGTAATCGACGGTACAGGTGATATTTGTACCAAGGTGTTCTCGCAGCGTGTTGTTTTTTGTTATGATCATATACTTGGTTCTTTGTGTTGAGCGTCAAACCAAAGTGTCGACTGGCAGCGACGACCTTATTTAGCAGTTCTTGTAGATCATGCATATTTTCAGCAAGAAAGACGCGTCCGCGTAGCACAAGTTACTAATTATCTTGCCATTTATTCTGATACCTCCCGAATCGCATACAAGGGCTCTGGTGAATATTTTTTCAAAGTATATGTTGAATAAAAGCGGCGAGAGGACACAGCTTTGCCTTGCTCCACGTTTGACTTCTATAGATTTTTCTGATTTAGTACTTCTATTAACTGGTTATGCCTCACTTTATCAAACGCCTTGTTGTAATCTATAAAGCAGGCGTAAAGTTACTGATTGACATCGAGACAGCGTTGTATGAGGATATTGTACGCAAATAATTTGTCCCAAGTACTGTATCCGTTTCTAAAACCGAAGTGGGTATCCGAGATGTTATCTTCGAGTTTCTGAAATACTCTGCAGTGTACAACTTTCAAGAACACTTTTAGTGTGTGACTCATCAAGCTTATTGCACGGTATTTATCACATCTTTTTGCATTTGCCTTTTTGAGTATTGTAACAAAGGTCGATTCTAGCCATTCCGTTGGTATATTCTGTTGAATAGTGCTGTTATAGAGTTCAACTCTTGTTGCTCTTCAATCAGTTTCAACACTTCCACAGCTACTTCATCCGGACCCAGCGCGTTTCCACTTTTTGTTGTCTTTATTGCCCATTTTACCTCTCCTTTCAGCATCGTAGGCCCCGTTTGTTCTTCAGTAATAGCTTGTATCTTTACTCTCTGATCAAATCTACAGATATTTAATATTATGTATTATTTAACTTTTTTTAGTGTCCTACCGCGACGCGTATCAATACCAAATAATAAAAGTGACTTAAGCATTTGCTTGGCCACTCTATAGTTTATTTACATACCTAACGGAGGTTTATTACTCTAGGTAACACAACAAATTACAAATTACTTTAAAAATTTGATAGAATATTTGTTGGTCTGACGTTTGATCTGTAATGTAATATGCAAGTGTCCATTTGAAATTCAGAATAGCATATCGACTTGAGAATTGAGATGCCGATATTTATTAAGAACTTACGTTAATGGAATAAAAGACGCAACTTTAATCTTGACTTTGACATCATTCTTGCTCTGTTTTACTGTTAAATACGTGACAGACAGCGAAGTCATGGAAATTATACATGTGCATTGACAGTCAAATCTAATCTGAAGGAATAGTAGAGGTATGGTTTGTCTCCAAGTATATCGGCAATTATCGCAATCATAAAACAAGTGACCATTAGGTATTGTAGGACTTCTTTGAATTTATGGGTGGTTTCGGGTATGGCCATGCTTCAATAAAAAATTTTGGTTAAAACCTGATATTCCGGATTGAGAACTGTTTCCTTCTGGCTGCCTTGTTTTTAGACTGGATCGTAATGCTTCTCTTAGTGAAAAGAGTGAAAGTGATGTGATCTCAGTATGTTGTTGTGAATGCGATAAAATGAAATATATATACTCTGGGTTTCCTTAGGGGTCGCATTTCGGTCGGTTATTGTTTGCCAATTTCCTGTATGATGTTTTTCAGTGTTTTTTACATAGTACTTACTTCTTGTACAAGGATGATCTAAAAGTTTCAAAATTATTTCTCACTGGTCGCCAACTACGTCTTGTTGCAGAGAGACTTGTCAAATTTTGAAGACAATGGTTCTCTGAATAGATTATTCGTTAACCCTGATTAGTGCCACGGTACTTTATTTATTAAAAAATTACCACAACTGTAAATTAAAAGTGTCTAAGTAACTCTATATAAACAACTATTGGGGTTTAATAACCTAAAATCTTTACAGAGACAGAGATATAGTAGAACAAATTTGGATTTATTGTTTGTTTATAAATTTGTAAACAATTTGATTGAATTTCCATTCGTTTTGGAAAAAATATCTTTTAACTGTAATCCTTACATTCTTCGAACCAGGAAAACGTTCTCTGTAAATCTCCAATTATGAGGCGTTGCCTATAACTATACCTATAAGTATACCTATAACAGAGTTAAGAGCGACTTTCCGGATCTTGGCTTATTTTCTCTGGACTTTGAAGCCTTTAAAGTACTTGTAAGACGGTATACAAATTTATTTCTTAAATTGGTTTTACGTGCAAGGAATCGTTTGGACTAGTCTATTTACTATCTATCTTTTTGTAATATTTTTAGGGCTTTCTTTTCTATTGTACGTAGGAAAGTCTTGTTTATACATAAATAAATAAAAAAATAAATAAATAAGTACATATGTTGTGTATGTGTATGTATGTAAATTATACATATGTTTTCGGATATATGCGTTTTCATTTTCTGAAGGTAATGAAATCTCATTACCACTTCTTTTTTTCTATTATGCAGTAATTAAATCCAATTTTATAAATAACTATATGGTGGGTGGCATTGCTAGTTAATATTTCTTTCTTCTAGCTTTCTGTTCAGTTAATACAAAGTAGGAATGATCTGGTTTTGATGAAGGGAACATATCTTCATTCTTATCATATCTTGTTCGCTATTGTACCGATGATGACGATTCTTTTATCGAATACTTTACTATTATCAATATACTTTATCGAGGATATTGAACTTATTAAATATTCACCCACATTATTCACAATATAATGACAAGTAATTTAAAGGTTAAGGAAAAATTTGTGGTATGCTTGTAAGAAGCTTGGAAATGTGTGGTAAAGCGGGTTACTCAACGCTGCCATTTATATCAGTGGACACGTGGTCGACATTTACTTGATTCGCCCCTGTCATGTCCCTTATCTAGGTCTTATTATTGTAAATTTAGGATTATACTAGGTTTACGGGGGTCATGTGGTTGAAATATTATTTTGAATGGAACGCCCTATAAATTCCAAGATGTGGCTCAAATCGTTTTTACCTGTCCTATCGAGCTGCTAATGTCAGAATGGGGTAGCGAGTTGTTGTTGGTCTCGCCCGGATTGGGGGGCAAGGAACCGTGGAGGGGGTGGTGCTTCATCACCGACGAGGCGGTACTGTTGTCATCGTCTTCTTCGTCTTCCGAACCCGAACCCATTAACGAATCTGCAACAAGCGGGAAACCTTTTAGATAAAGTCTGTTCATAGATATAAGAAAGTGACTAACTGATACGAATTAAGGAAAAACCCGGGCAAGCTGTAAGAATGAAACAGGTCCGTACTTTGCTTAGAATTTTATTATTTGGGGTTTTGTTAGGAAAGATACTAAACATTATTTATTTATGTATGTATGTATGTATGTTTAAATCTAAAATAAAATTACAAAGTATTTTTATTACCTAGTTAAATTACTTAAAATTATTCACATAATATATCAGTATCACTATCGCAATCATCACCTGTTCTAATTATTATTTGTTCTATATTATTTGCAATATGGATATACGATTCTTCTGATTTTTCTATATGTTTAAGAGAATTTGCCCAACTTTGTGGAGGGATGTTAAAAACTTCGGTTCCTATAAGTTTGAGGACATTGGAGTTAACACGGGGAAAAACATTGTTACAACGAATGGCAGATTTCAGTTGGTGCCAAACATGTTCAATGGGATTAAATATACAGTGGTATGGTGGAAGCCTTAAAACTGTATGCCCTAGATTTTTTGCATAATTATCACAGACCTATTGCTTTTGTAGGTTCAAGCTTGGTAGAACCTCAATTAATTGCTTTTTGGTATAATCTTCGTGAAAATAAATGTCGTTATTATACATGTAGTTTTGGATTGTTGCTTTTGTGTCACATGAGGAGGGGGTTTTAGTCAACTGTCTACTGTGATTGTCCATTACAATGACGCTGTTAGGAGGAATCTTTGGAACTAGTTTGTTTTTAAATCAACTTTCAAATAAATCAGCGGTGGTCTTTTCATGGTAATCCAGAAAAGAATCCTTAAAATTTTTCGCAGACAGAGAAATTCCATTTGGAATCCAATCATTTTTAGAGCCAGCATGCAAAATAGTTATTCTTTTACCTCTTTTTGATGGCGAGTTTGTTTTACACTTATCGGTTGAGTCAACCCAACCCTTTTCCAGGATATTATAAGTGTCGAACCTTTGTTGTTCTCCGCAAATTATATTTTTTTCTAGATATTCCAGTCGCCATTTCCGAATTCCAAAAGTTTCCATTAAAACTTGTCTTTTGTCAATTTTTTAAAATATAAAACCCATGTGTTGAATACACTTCCATAAGGTAGTTCTGCCACATTTAACACCGGTTTCATCTTTTTCAAGCTTCCTAATTAAGATATCTAATGTAGGTACCCTTTGTTCCTCGTATAACTGATAAATTTTATGCCGTATTATATCTTGATCACTTTCATCTACACTCAAGAAAATTTCAGCATCGCTTCTTTTTTTCCTTGCTGAAATGGGATTATTCACAATTTTCCATACAGTTGATGTTGGAATTTTCAATGTGGCCGTTTCTTCTAAATACGCTTGCTTGTTGGCACCACGTTCAATGAAAGTCAAATAAACATTGTTTATAACTTCCTTAGTCTCAATAGAATAGGGTTTTCCACATTTGGGCGGGAGTATCTCCTGAGATACACTAGACTCGCACATATTTTGCATAATTCGCACACGATTCAACACACGCTGTATTACACACGAAATAAGAATGATTACTAATAAACTTAAACTAAGTAGTATACCAAACCAAAGAATATTAAACACAGGTAGGTATAAAATTATTTTCTATTACGGACCACAATTTTACCTGAATTTAAATTCTGAAACTTTAGGTAATAATCTTGTTGCATTGTATGTTAATGACTACCCTTTGACAATCTCATTCAAAAGCAATTGATCACTTTCTTATATCTATGAAGAGACCATACCAGTGATACCTAAACAGGACAAATCGTAACTGCCGTCTTTCTTGCACGGTGATCATACTCTACCTCGGCACTCGGTGGCAGAAAGTAAGAAATGCCGGCCAAGGGACAATGCCGAAAATTATTTTTAAGGCTCTGAAATGGACACGAGAGGGCGTCATTGGCATCTTGAATTTTACTATCCGTTTTCTGCAATTTTTTTGATATTAATGATACTTAAACTTGACTCTTTTTTATAGCTCAAACAAATTGAAATCTTTCTTGTTAGATGATTTTTACTCTATCACCAAAAGGAAAATGGTAAACGGTGTCCCGGTGTTAACATTTAAATTTTAATAAACTTGGAGTCGTTAAGAAGTTCTTTTCCTAGGCTATGCGTCAGATATTTGAAATGAAATGCAACGATATACGTCACTAGATAGCCAACCAAGAGCAAAACATCCCAGTAACAACAGCATCTCAATATCCTGAACTAAAATATGCCCAAGATAAGCCTCAGATTTCCGATTTATTTAATTTTTTTTCAAAATTTTTAAACATCCTATTTCCCCATACGGAACCTCTTACTGGGACGCCTGGTATATTAAGAGTATATATTTAGTACTCAGATAATCGTGTGAACAGAATAAGGAAAAATGAAAGTGGATGAGACGAGCTTTTGCTCAAATCGGAGAAGTTAAAAGAAAATTGTTCATGCTACAAATTGATGAAATCGAAAAGGAAATTGATAAAAATGAAGAATTAGAAGTTAAGAACGAATCTACAGATGAAGACAGACAAACCGAATGAACAGTATAATAAAAATTAAATAAACCACAACATTTGAACCCTTATGAACTTGATGATATAAACCTATTTACAGCACTTTCATTGTTTAATGATGTACCCAAAACATATAATGATGGAGAATTAGAGGCTTTCGAAGACATAAAAATTAGTGGTGGTTTCGAAAGATGTCAAAATAATCGATACAATGTGGGTGTTTACTAAAAAGTTTGTTGAAGAAAAAGCAAATAAAAAGGCGAGACAAGGTGGCAAGAGGTGTTAAGCAGAGTGTTGCGAGGATTGACCAATTGTTGTTCTCAGTTGGACGTTGAAAAAATCGGTTTTTATAGAATCTCCGGATGGTTATAGTGTAAAAACAAGAATTTAATTTAAATTCTCTAATCGAAATTCGGTATTATAGATCAAAGTACCATCTGTGTGCTTTTCAAATATCACGCTTTTATTGATTCGCGTTGACGATACTATTTTGTTTTCCATGTCCAAAAACAGTTAACATATGTTAATAAAAATTTCAAATCACTTCAAAAAATCAAGCAAGGTTTGTTGTCCATATTAACCAGAGAAATTTGATAAGATTTTGACATTCTCGATTGTAAACCGTACGATTCATCAATGCATTCAAAATGTCAGGGAAGTTTTAATTAGCAATCTGATTTTAGCCACAAAATTTTGCCTTACAAAGAACTAATAGATTCATTAATGTATTTTTTTAATGGAATAAAATCAGATTTGAGTCCAGCACTCTTCTTCCACCTTACCTGGGTACCATAGCAACTCATCCCAGTGATCCATTGCCTAAATGCGAGTTTTTCCATTTTTTCCATTAGCTATTTGTTGATCATTTAAAATATTTGAATCTCATATTGAGCTGTCTCAAAAAAGCGCCAAATTAAGTTTCATAATATAATAATAAAACTGTGAGGTCGGCCATTGTATTCCCGGTTGTTTAAAAATCCTCATAGGAAAATATCAAGAGGGTCCAATCATCATCAGGTATTTAGTAACTGGATCGGTATTATTTTCAATATTATTTTGAATTAAATATAAATATCGATTGCCCTTCAGATGTCCATCAAGAACAATCGGTCCGATTATTTGGTTGGCCTACATGTCACACCACACAGCAACCGATTTACGACCTTATATTTTTACTGGTTGAATTTTATGTGGGTTTTCATTTGTCCGATAACGCTTGTTTTCCGATTAAATATACCTACCGCCGTCATCAGTAAAAATTATATTTTCCAAAATATGGGGATCCTCTGTTATATGCTTCGACATATTTTAACAGTTTTGTAATAGTTGGCTTAATTTTACTTCCTTCAGATCAGCCTTGAGCCGGGATAAATTTTCGAGATTTTCTAAAAAGTTATATCAAAATTAATTATATTTTTAATTAGTATACAGTTTACAAAATGTATGTGTAGCAAGTCAAAATAAAATAAACAAATACATAAAAGGATAATAAAACTATATATCAATAAAAGCATAAAACACTTTTTCTACTCCCGTCTGTAAAATGCCTAATTACACACCGATGTAGCGTGCGGGAACCGTCACTTTACCACGTCAGTTTCGTTTCCGAAGCATCCGAGCCACTTCGGACATTTCCCGGATTTTACCGCACGGGTTTAGTTGGAGTAATCGGATGTATTCGGAGATATTTCTCAAGCCGTGAATTTTGAGTTTGTCAATTCTGACGGTCATGTCAGAGGATGTATTCGTGTTGTCTCGCGAAAATATACCAAAACACTAACGGTCGTAGAAAAAGTATATTATGCAACACGTTCGGTAAACTTTTTAAGTCACTCGTTTATTAAACACTCGCTCCGCTCGTTTCAAATAAACTCGTGAGTCAAATGCCGTTTACCGCACTTGTTGCATAATTAATAAAGGCATGAAACAACTTTGTAAAAGCGACAGGTTATACAGTACTCCAAAAAGAGTTTATTGTCAGTAGATGCTCCTAAAAGAATTGTTACCAAGGCGTTCTATATTTATATTTTATATTGCAAAAGTTCAAGTTCAAAGAATTTCTAATTGATTTATCAAGACGGTGTCGGGGAATCATTAACTGGTGTGTATTACTCGTTGCGAAGGAATGAGTGCCAGAGTGAACACAAAATTTGATTTATTAGAATGAATCTCGATTGGGCTGTTGTATATGGTAAAGTTATAATATGAATACAGGGAAAATGTGTCCTAAGAAGAAGAAGAAGAATTCGGAGAGCTCTGACTGTGGATGTCCTATCCTATATGGTGATCCCGTATTGCATATTGCACATGATAGGCTTAACAGAATGAGTAAAATAATTTATATAATGAGGAAATGGAGCGGAACCAAAACCAATCCTTGCGGAACACCGTGAATCTAAGGTAAAAAATGAGAGGTACTACCATCTACGTGCAATCTTTGACGGCGATGAG